AGTGCCCATCAAGGGACGAATGGATAAAGAAGATGTGGTATATATACACAATGGAACACTACTCAGCCATAAGAAACGATGAAATCCAGCCATTTGTGACAACATGGAAGGACATTGAGGATATTATGCAAAGTGAAATAAGTCAGAGGGAGAAGGTCAAATACCATATGATTTCCTTCATTAAGTAGTAGATAATAACAACAATAAACAAACACATAGAGACAGAGATTGGATTGGTGGTTACCAGAGGGGAAGGGGGGAGGGAGGAGAGCGAAAGGGCTAATTCAGCACATGTGTGTGGTGCTGGGTTGTAATTAGTATTTGGGTGGTGAACATGATGTAATCTATGCAGAAATAGAAGTATAATGATGTACACCTGAAATTTATACAATGTTATAAACCAATGTTACTGCAATAAACAAAAAATTAAAAAAAAAAAAAAACCAAAAAAAAAAAAGAGACATGCCTATCACTGTTGTTAAAGGTAATGAACAATAAGTTTAAACTTCAAACTAAAAACAAAAAACTGAGATTCTATGACAAATATCTACACCCCTTTAACCAAGGCGATGAAGAAATCTAAGTAAATCAGGGTGTTCTTTTCAGGGAGAATTAAATGATTATTCAGCACAGTATGGATGATACTAAGAAAATACAGAAATGAGCAAGCCAGGAGAAGAAGTCAGCAAACCATCAGTCTCAACCCGCTGATGATCATGGCCTAAAGAAGAGCCACGCATGCTGCTTTTCACCAGAACGATGAGTAAGCAACACATCTGCTGTGACCACCCCCACTCTCACGCCAGCTTTGGAACAGTTCTCCTGGCGCAAGCTTTCTGAGTTCTCCGGGGTCTTGAGCATTTTGGTGGCCAGGGCTCTGCAGTGCACAGGAGCTGTGTGCTTGCACGTGGCAGGGCAAGAACTGGCAGTGTGGCCTGGCAGGGAAAGAGGTGGCTGAAAACGCCCTGCAGGAACCAGCTACTGGGTCCAGGAATCCTGGGAAGGGCTTCTTCCCATCCTTGAACACCTGGTGGGCTGCCCCCATTGCATCTCCACCCTCACCCCAGCTAGTAGTTTTTAATCACTGGTGTGAACAATAACCCATTCCTGGGATTATGGTAAGGTCTGGGGTGGGGCCTAGACTATTTTTAACTCCATTTGGTGGTCTGGGACTTTGAGAAACCCTGGGCTAGCTCTGACATGGCAGGAAATATCTGCTAACCCACTAACCACTTCTCGCTGTTATCTACATCCCTCATCAGTACCACAGTTTTATCTCCTCTGTATCTTCTTTCATAAGCTTCTCAAAGGTAACAGCTATGTCTTAACATTTTTCAGCATTCTGCTGTGTGTTAGGCAAATGGTACAGGTTCAATAAAAACTTTCTGAATACAATTTTATGACACAGTGTTTCAAAAAGTCAACATCTTCTGACTGATCCCGAAAAATCTATAATCTCCCTAGTACATCAGACTGGGAGGCATGAATCATTATTTTGGGGCATGTATTCCCCAATGAAATGCCTTCCATCTTTTGCAGGTTCCCTCGTTTGGCACAAGCAGTTATGAAGATAGGAGCTTAAAGCCCTGGGGTGCACCACTAGACGTAAAAGCGTGGAAGTAAGACCCTTCTTTTGAAATCACTGGCCCAGCACACAGAGGCTGGCAGGCTGTCGATTTCAAATCAAGACAGGGTGTCAGAGGGCAGCTTAGGATGACTAAGGCACCGAGACAGCAAAACTGGGAGTGTACATACAACCTCAGTGCTTACTGCTCAACATTAAGTCTTCTAATAAAATTTTAAAATGTTTCTACTGTGAGATCCTATGTGCAGGGTGTTGTAGTGGGCCCCCAATAGCTATGTCCATGTGCTAACCCCTAGAACCCGCGAATGTGAGCTTATTTGGAAAAATAGTCTTTGCAGATGTAATTAAGTTAAGGATCTTGAGATGAAGAGATCATCCTAGATTATCCTAAATCCAATGACAAGTGTCCTTATAAGAGACAAAAGAGAATATAGAGAGAAGAGGAGAAGGCCATGTGGAGACGGAGGCAGAGTGTGGAGTTGTATACGGCCACAAGCCAAGGCACACCTGGAGCCACCAGAAGCTGGAATAATGAGCAAGATTCTCCCCTAGAGCCTCTGGAGGGAGTATGGCTGTGCTGACAGCTTGATTTTGGACTTGTGGCCTTCAGAACTGTGAGGGAATAAATTTCTGTTGTTTTAAGCCACCCAGTTTACGGTAATTTGTTACTGCAGCTCTTGGAAGCTAATGCACTTGGTCTTCACATCTATACAACAAATTCCTTCTGTACTTCATTCTTACTACTCACATCTCCACCAAAAAGTAACTGACGCCGGGCCAGCCCCGTGGCTTAGCGGTTAGGTGTGTGTGCTCCGCTACTGGCGGTCCGGGTTCGGATCCTGGGTGTGCACCAACGCACCGCTTCTCCGGCCATGCTGAGGCCGCGTCCCACATACAGCAACTAGAAGGATGTGCAACTATGACATACAACTATCTACTGGGGCTCTGGGGCAAAAAAAAAGGAGGAGGACTGGCAACGGATGTTAGCCCAGGGCCGGTCTTCCTCAGCAAAATGGGGAGGATTAGCACGGATGTTAGCTCAGGGCTGATCTTCCTCACACACACACACACAAAAAGTAACTGACACCAACGAGATAAGCAAGCACGTGTAGAACTTTTCTGCTGGATTCAAAAGACTTCCTTCTGGTGAAAGGACAGTGCATATACCTTAAGGAGATTTAGAACTGCATGCTATGGTAAAATGACAGCATTTCTAGACACCATTAAACCAGGTTATTGGTGGATGTGGATTAGAAAGCTCTGTCCCTTTGCATCTCACTAGTCTGCATGATTAAACTGGTAGCCCCAGCATGTTCTGCAACTTGGGTTTTTTCGTTGTTGTTAAAAATCTTCAACACATCAATATAAGATCTCACGCACAGCATTTCATTGTGCAGACATGCTGTAAGTTACTTAGCCGAGGGGCTGTATCCAGGTTTCCCTTGGACAAAGTGACATGAACATCCTTGCTGACACTCGTATGCTTGTGTGGCTGTGTCTGTGGGAAAGTCCCAACAGCGCAGGGCCATGTTCTCGACAGCTACGCCACCACTTTCCAAAGAAGCCCCACCAATTAGCCTCCTCTGTTTTCCTCATAACTTGCCCATGAGAGCAGGAGGGTCTTGCTTTTAAAAATGCTCCCTCCTCCAAATGGAGCTCAGTCTTTCCCTGACAAACCAGTCAGGGAAACATCGGGAGACATCGGCCCAGTCAAGGCTCAAGACTTCCATCAACAACTTGGAACCTGGATTGCCTCACCTCCAGCCTTTCTCGAGCACTCCCCACCTGACCCAATATACACAGAGCCTCCACAGTCAATCAGATTCCTTTGATCCTCAAGACAGTCTGAAAACAGGGAGGGCTATAGCCCAGCAGACCTTGCCCCACCCTCAGCCCCCTTCAGTCACTCCCCTTTCACTCCTGCCTCTCCAGTCTATCCTCCATAAAGCAGCGAGAGTGAAAATGGAAGTTGATATATTAACACATAAGGCAAACTGCTCTCCGCCCTCCAATAATTTCCCAGCTCATGCAGAGTAAAACCCACAGCCTTCGCCTATAGAGCCCCCGTGCTCTGGCTGGATGTCCTCCAGCCTCAGGTTCCATCAGCATGTACTGCATTCCAGCCTGGGGCTCCTGGAAATTCCTTGACAATGAGGAAGACTGGGGCCAGGTGACAGGAAACCTAGTGCCCAGGATGAGGTGATGAGGGCCTGGCCTAGGGGCAGCAATGAGGGACAGGCGCTTTCAGCTTCTACCTGCTCCTATAAAGGCTCAGGCCACCTGCACCCACCATCCTTTTCCTTCCTGAGTCACTGTCTTTGCCAGCCAAGTGTTGACTGGCTCCAAGCCTTCTGCTCCAACACCAACCTGCCTAATTCGAGGAGATTTCAAGGTCCATGTAACTGACCCAGTCAACCACCAGCTCCGAATTCCAGGAGCTCCTTTTAATGCCAATGGCCTTCACCTCTATGAGCTCAGCTGTCCGTCACAGGGCTTCAGTCTGGATTGGCCCTCATCCCTTGCGATTGCTCCTCCCTTCAGAAACCTTACACTCCAGCATCTCACCTGCGGACCCCACCTGCTCTCTGATCAAGGTGTCATGAGACACCTGCGGGCCCTTGACACTGCCATCCTCTCCTGGCCCGTCGGCAACTCCTCCTGACTTGTGCCCTTCCCTATTTAGCTGGTGGGTGGTAACCAATGGCTCCTGGAGCTGGCTGAGCATAAGAGTCCCTGGGGAGTCCTCAGAGTTCGGACTCTGGCCCCATCACAGCCGTGTGACTCCACAGGCTTCTCGGATGCTTGGATTGATCACTCAGTGATCCTGAAACACTCCTCCCTTCTGTTTCCATGGCACAGCATCCTCCTGGTTCTCCTCAAGCTTCTCTGACTGCTCACTTTCTGTCCTTCTTGGGGGCCCCTCTTCTTTCCCTCACTCCTGACATGCTGGTACGACCCCCTGTCCTCAGCTCCTCTCTCTCTCCACTCTCCGCTTCAGTGGGCAGCCTCATCTGCCCGGAGTGTTTCAGCCACCACCTGCGTGGTGAGGGCTTCCAATCGACCACAGTCTTCCCTTCTAACAAATAAGGCACCCACAGATTAAGAAGTTGGACAAGTAGATGATTACTCTTAAGGATGGACATATCCTCAGATACTACAAAGGCTTCTGGCATGTGCCTTTTAGTTATATTCTAATCCCTCTTCTGTTTACCAGCAGGACTATTTGTGACAGGTAGTGAGGGCCAGAGGGCACTTCATGGCCACTGGAAGCAACTGGCTAACATGGAACTTCTCATAAACACAGCATGGTAACAGACCAAACCAAACCCTTTTGTGTTATTGCAAATGCTAAATCCGTCAATGGTGCATCTCTCCTTTCTAGTTCAGGACCCCACCCCCTTCACATGGTACTTACTCCCAAGTATTCTGTGGTCAGAAGCTTCTCGCCTGAGAGTTCTCCAAGCTGGGGCTGGATCAGTTCATCTTTGTCCAGATCGGCTTCCATGGTGTCATGGTCCTCCTGTTTCCAAGGAGACACGGGGTGAATGCTCTGGACCCCCTGCCACAAGTTCCCAGAAGGGTGGTTCCCCAAGGGGGTATCTGCCATGAAATGAGAAGGCCTTAGCTCAACCACAGCAACTTGTGGGTTTGCATTTCAAGGGTCTCAGGAGCAGTCTGCTCTCTGCTCATAACCTCTCCATGAAGATGAAAGGGAAAACACCAAAGTACCAGAAAAGGGGGAGCCTAATAAATAAATAAAAAATAATTAAAAAAAGGGCCGGCCCCGTGGCTTAGCGGTTAAGTGTGCACGCTCCACTGCTGGCGGCCCGGGTTCGGATCCCGGGCACACACCGACGCACCGCTTCTCCGGCCATGCTGAGGCCGTGTCCCACGTACAGCAACTAGAAGGATATGCAGCTATGACATACAACTATCTACTGGGGCTTTGGGGGAAAAATAAATAAAAGAAAAGGGGGGAGCCTAGCACGATAGAACTTTAATAGAAAATAACCAAATACCACAGAAAACATTGTTGCCCCACCCCCAACCACACCAGCAAAGGCCTCAGGGAGCCCAGACTTCTATCCTCACCAGGCTGTAATGAGGCACCCCAACACCCCCAGCTGGGGGGATATCAGAGAAGACCAGGTAGGGAGGGAGAATTCCATCCCTGCTGGGCAGTAACGAGGCCCCCCACCCCAACGTGAGAGTGGAGACCACGTGGAGAGCCTGGACTTCCACCCCTACTTGGCAGTAATGAGATGTCCCCCCTCTCCATGCTGGGATGGTGTCAGAAGGCCTGGTGGAGAGTCAGGACTTTCACCACAGCCCATCACGTCCCTGTGGTGTCAGGGGAGGCCATGTGGGGAACAGTAATGAGGCATTCCTACCCCTTCCAGTCAGGGAGGTATTAGTGGAGGCCTAGCAGGGATCCAGAACTCCACCCTTGCCCTGTAGTAATGAGGAGTCTCCTCCCTCCCCCCACCACCAATGGGTGTCAACAGAGGCCAAGTGTAGAACCTGGACTTCCACCACGCCTGGCAGTAATGAGGAGAAGCCCCTGCCTCCCTTGCCAGAGCAGTGTCAGAAGAAGCCAGCTAAAACAGAAAGTTTAAATAAGATCAAATCTCTTATAACATAATACCCAAAATATCTGGGTTTACATAAAAAATCAGTCATCATACCAGGAACCAGGCAGCTCTAAACTGAACAAAGAGAGACAATCAATAGTTGCCAACATCAAGATAACAGAGAGGTGGGCCGGCCCGACGGCACAGCAGTTAAGTTTGTGCTCTCCACTACAGTGGCCCAGGGTTCACAGGTTTGGATCCTGGGCACAGACCGACATACCACTTGTCAAGCTACGCTGTGGCAGCGTCCCATATAAAGTAGAGGAAGATGGGCATGGATGTTAGCCCCGGGCCAATCTTCCGCAGCAAAAAAAAAAAAAAAGAGGAGGATTGGCATCAGATGTTAGCTCAGGGCTAATCTTCCTCACACACACAGACAAAAAAGATAACAGAGAGGCTAGAAATACCTGACATAGATTTTAAAGCAGTCATCACAAAAATGCTTCAACGAGCAATTATTAAACATTCGTGAAAGAAATAAAAAACAGAAAGTTTCAAGAACATAGAAAAAGAACAAAATGAACCCAAAGCAAGCAAAAGGAAAGAAATAATAAGAGCAGAAATCAATGAAAAGGAAAACAGAAAAAAAAAATACAGAAAATTGGTAAAACAAAAAGCTGGTTCTTTGAAAAGGCTAATAAAATTGTCAAGCCTCTAGCAAGACTGACAAAGAAAAAAGATAGAAGACGCAAATTACCAATATCAGGAATGAAACAGGAGCTATCACTACAGACCCTGCAGACATCAATTACTATGAACAACTCTATACACATAAACCTGACAGCTTAGATAAAAAACATAAACTATCACAAGCCTCTCAATATGAGATAGATAACTTGAACAGTCCTGTAACTATTAAGGAAATTGAATTCATAATTTTAAAAGTCCCAAAAAAGAAATCTCCGGGTACACATGGTTTCACTAGAGAATTCTACTAAACTTTTAAAGAAGAAGTAACACCAATTCTACACAATATCTTCCAGAAAACAGAGGAGGAAGGAATACTTCCTAATTCATTTTACGAAGCTAGTATTACCCTGGTACCAAAACCAGACAAAGACGGTATCATAAAAAGAAAAATACGGACAAATATCATCCACGAATAAAGACACAAAAATCCTTAATAATCAGGTTAAAGGAAAAAAAAATCCTTAACAAAATATTAGCAAATAGAATAGATAAACATTGGCTGGCCCCGTGGCTTAGTGGTTAAGTGCGTGCGCTCCGGTACTGGCGGCCCGGGTTCGGATCCCGGGTGCACACCGACCCACCACTTCTCCGGCTATGCTGAGGCCGTGTCCCACATACAGCAACTAGAAGGATGTGCAACTATGACATACAACTATCTACTTGGGCTTTGGGGCAAAAAAAAGGAGGAGGGATTGGCAATAGACGTTAGCTCAGACCCGGTCTTCCTCAGCAAAAAAAGAGGAGGATTAGCACGGATGTTAGCTCAGGGCTGATCTTCCTCACACACAAAAAAAGAAAAAGAATAGAGCAACAGATCAATATGTTAAAAGAATTATATACCATGACCAAGTGGGATTTGTTCCAGTGACGCAAATCTGGTTCAATATTTAAAATTTAATAACTGTAATCCACAAGACTAACAGGCTTATGAAGAAAAAAAAATCACATGGTCATATTAATAGACGAAGAAAAAGCATGACAAAATTCAACACCCATCAACCAAACTCTCAGAAAAATAGGAATGGAGGATACTTGATAAAGAACATCTATAAAAAACCTATAGTTAACATTATACTTAATGGTGAAAGACTGGATGCTTTCCCCCTAAGACTGGAAACAAAGGAAGGATTTCTAGTCTCACCATTCTTATTCAACATAGAGCTGGAAGTTCTAGCCAGAGCAATGAGGCAAAAAAAGGAAATAAAAAGCACGCAGATCAGAAAGGAAGAAACAGAACTGTATCTATGTGCAGACGACATGATTGTCTATATAGAAAATCCCAAAGAATTGACCCTAAAAAACTTGTAGAATAAGTGAGTCCAGCAAGGTCAAAGGATACAAGATAAACAAAACAAAAATCAATTTCTATATACTAGCAATAAACTTAAGACACTGAAATTAAAAATACAATACTATTAACAACTGCCCACAAAATAAAAAAAAAGAAATACTTAGGTGCAAATCTAACAAAACATGTACAGGACTTGTATGCTAAGAACTATAAAACGCTAAGAAATCAAAGAAGATCTAAATAAATGGAAAGACATACTTTGTTCATAAATTGCAAGACTCAAAACAGTTAAGATGTCAATTCTCCCCAAATTGATATATGAGTTTAATGTAATTTCTATCAAAATCTCAGCAAGATTTTTCTGTAGATATATACAACATTAATCTAAAACGTATATGGAAAGGACAATGGAACTAGAATAGCTAAGACAATTTTGAAAAAGAAGAATAAGGTGGGAGGAATTAGTCCACCGAATTTCAAGACTCATTATACAGCTACAGGAATCAAGACTATGTCGTATTGGCAGAGGGAAGACATATAGGTCAATGGAACAGAAGAGAGAACCTTGAAACAGACCTACACGAATGCGCCCAACTGACTTTTGACAAAGGTGCAGATGCAGTTCAACGGAGGAAAGATTGCCTTTTCAACAAATGGTGCTGGAACAACTGGACATGCATAGGAAAAAAAAATCTCCATCTAATTCTCATGCCTTATACCAAAATTAACTCAAAATAGTTCACAGACTTACACGTAAAACAATCACATTTTTGGAAAAAATAGGAGAAAATCTTCAGGATCCATGGCTAGGCAAAAAGTTTTTACACTTGACACCAAAAGCACAATCCATAAAAGGAAAAATTTGATAAACTAGTTTTTATCAACATTTTAAAAGACTTTTACCTGTGAAAGACTCTGTTAAGAAGATAAAGAGAAAAGCTACAGATTGATAGAAAATATTTGGAAACCACGTATCTGACAATGTACTTAAATATAAAAAGTGTAAAAATATAAAAAATGTATAAAGAACTCTCAAAACTCAACAGTAAAAACCCCAAACAATCCAATTAGAAAATGGGGAAAAGACATGAAGAGACATTTCACCAAAGAGGATATATGGATGGCAAACGAGCACATGAAAATGTTTAACATTATTAGCTATTAGGGAAATGCAAATTAAAACCACACTGAGATATTGCTACACAGTTCTCAGACTGGCTAAATGCCAAATCCTGGGGAGGATGCAGAGAAGCTAGACCACTCACACGTTGCTGGGGGGAATGCAATACTGGTACAGCTGCTCTGGGAAACGGTTTGGCAGTTTCTTAAAAAACTAAACGTGCAACTACATACCAGTAATTACACTCGTGAGCATTTACCCCAGAGAAATGAAACTTACTGTCACACAAAAATCTGTACACGAATGTTTATAGCAGCTGTGTTCGTAATAACCCAAAACTGGAAAAAACAGATGCCCTTCCATTGGAGACTGGTTAAACAAACTGCGGTACATCCATGCCGTGAACTACGGATACACACAAACCTGGATGACTCTCCAGTGAGTTATGTTGTGCAAAAAAAGCCAGTCCCCAGTGGTTATATACTGTATGATTCCATTTATATAACATTCTTGAAATGACAAAATTACGGAAATGAAGAACAGATTAGTGATTGCCAGGGGTTAAGGAAGAAACGGGGGTGGAGGAAAGTGGGTGTGGCTATCAAAAGGATCTCCTGTAATAGAAATATTCTGGATCTTGAACATATCAATGTTAATACCCAGTTGTGATATTATACCATAGTTTTGCAAGATATTACCATTGGATGGAACTGGGTAAAGTGTACACAGGATTTTTCTGTATTATTTCTAACAACTGCATGTGAATCTACAATTATCTCAAAATAAAAAGTTTTCAAATATAAAAAAAGGGAGAAGAGCTA